CTCCTGTCCTACCTGTATCATCCATTGTGCATATCAAAGGTTGTCTGGGCAAAGCTAATTGGTATTTATCACAATGGCATTTCTTGCAGTGATTCCACATGCCTGAGAGAATCCTGAAAAAGGTATACGTAGTGATTGTAAAGAGGTCAGCCAGGTAGAACTCATAGAATATGTGTTCGCTGATTGGGGCTTTAATCTGGTTCAATCAGGGAACCCTGGCTGACAGATATAAACAGGAGTGTCAGGGGTTTTGCTCACTCTATGAGCCGGCTCTGAGTTACCTGGGTCAGTGTCATGTACCGTGCGCATGTAAATAAAGGGTGACTTGGTGATGTTACTCGGGCCTCCACAGAGTCATTTCAGTGATGACGAGAGAAAAACACACCCCTGAAGAGATTTGCTCGCAACAGTCGCCTTGGACCTGGGGGTAGGAATTTCTGGCATCCTGTCACTATTTGGGACGCTTGACTTGTTCGATCCTGCCATCAAAGACTGGGTCCAGTATGTGGGAAGAATGCATGATTTTTTTTTCCCAGGCAAATGACATCAGAGCAGACAATAAACCAACAAGAGAGTGTGGACCTGCAGTTTTTTCAGTTATTTGGAGCCTAACTTACCCAGAAGCACCAGATACTAAAAGCTTTCAAGAGTTGATGGATTTAGTTAAGGAATATTACAACCCCAAGCTTCCTCTAATTCTGAGATACTATTGGTTTTATTTGACAGTTCAAGAACCAGGGGAATCAATGTCAGGATTTTTGACTAGGTTGAAACGACTCAAGCATGTGATTTCAGTTTAACCCTAAGTTAAATGCTGAGAGACCATTTGGTGTATGCGATTAATGATGTGACCATGCAAAAGCGCCTAGTAGTTGAAGCCCAACTGGACTTCATACAGGCACCACAACTGGCTTTATCAATGGAAAATGCAGCAAGTGGAGCATTCCGATGGAAATGGACACCCTCGCCAGTCCGACTGAGATTGGGGAACGCCACTTGAGCAATTGCATAGCCTCGCTCAGGACACATCCTGTCCCACTAGGCCTGAATTGAGTAAGAGAAGTCATAGGCCGGTATCCAGGCACACCCTGGAAAATCCACTTACAGCTGGTTTGGAACAGTTAGATTGCTTAGCAATGTCCAAATCAGAACCAATCAAAATAAACATCTGATTAAACGGTCACCTAGTTCTAATGGAGGCCAACACTAATGCAGCTGTATCAGTGACTGTGGAACCAGTCATTACAAAAATTCACTTTGGACTCCAGCACTTTAGTGTAAGATCTTGGCCAGGCTGAGAATTTATACCAGGGTACGACTTTGGTTCCGGTCTCTTGTGAGAAGCAGCTGGATCAGTTACTACTGATTGTAGCAAAAGGCTTGGGCCCAAGCTAGATGGGGGTGAAACTGACTGAGAAAGATTTACCTAGACTGGCTCCATATTTTTCGATTAGAAAATGGCTGCCTAAATGAATACCTGGAAGTTTTTCAGAAAGGTCTGGGGACCATCAAAGGGGCCATCTTACATGTCGAGCAGGAAGCAATTCCACGATTCTGTAAGGCCCACTCACTACCATTTGCCTTATGGGCAAAAGTAGAGGCAGAAATCAGGAGGCTGGAGATTGAAAGAATCATCAAACCAGTCCAGTTGCTGGAATGGGCAGCACCGGTCATACTGATTGTGAGGCCTGATGGGTCAGTTCGCCTTTGTGGGGATATTAAACAAACGGTGAACAGCTGGATAAATACCCAATTGCTTGCATAGAGGACTTATATGCAAAACAGGCCTAGGGGGGTGGTGGTGCCCTTCGCAAAGCTGAACGTGAGCCGGGCATACCTGGAACTGCGAGTTGATGAGTATTCTCAGGAGTATGCTACCACTAATACCTGTAAGGATTGGTGCCAAAATACAAGACTGCCCTGTGGGGTATCGTCAGCCTGTGCCATTTTCCAGCAGATGGTGGAGAACATTTTACAAAGTCTGCCTCAGGTCGCCATTTGTCTGGATGATGTGCTAATAATCAGGAAAGACCAATAAAGAGCATTTAGAGAACTTGGACATTGAGTTTAAACATTTCTGCAAGGGGTACGTCCCAGGAGGTATGCCTTGGGCTACAGAGTTGACAAGAATGAGTTATACCTGTTGGAAGATAAAGCGAGGGCGATCAAAGGAGCCCCAGATCGAAGTCTGTACCTGAGCTTAGGTCTTTCCTTGGGCCGGTGAATTATTACAGAAAGTTCATACATAACCTGGCCTCCTTCCTGGCACCCTTACATTTGCTATTGAGAAAGGGTCAGCCTTGGAAATGGTCTTGTAACCAAGATGTAGCCTTTAGGGAAACAAAGAAGCAGCTATAGTCATCTAAGGCTTTGGCACTTTACGATCCCAAGCAAGGTTGGGGCTGACATGTAATGCCTCCCCATACAGTATCGGGGTAGGGTTGGCTCACTGTTGACCCAATAGAGAGTAACGCCCGATGGTGTATATTTCCTGGACTTTGATTGATGCCGAACGAAGATATGCCCAGGTAGAGAAGGAAGGTTTGGTGGTCATCTTTGGTGTGAGAAACTTCCACCAGAATCTTCAGGGACGTAAATTTGTAGTAGTAACGGATCACAAACCCCTGCTAGGGCTACTTAAAGAGGACAGGGTCATGACCCCACCCACAACCCCCCACCCCCCAATAACTTCAGGTTGAATTCAGCAGTGGGCTCTTATTCTGAGTGTGCACAATTACAAATTGGAACACTGTCCAGGAGGCCAAGTGGAAAATGCAGAAGCCTTGAACTGCCTCCCACAGGCGGATACACCACTAACACTGCCACCGCTGGTTTTAAACTTCCTGGAAACCCTTCCAGTCACCACTGACAATATTAGACTGCCGACACAGAAAGATCCCATCCTGGCAAAACTGAAACAGCTGGTGGTGATGGGGGTAATGGAAGGGCCATCACAACCAGGAGTAAAACCTTTCTGGACCCAGCGAGACCAGATCACCGTAGAGAAAGATATATTACTGTGGGGAGCCAAGGCTGATTGTCCCGAATAAAGGTCATCCAGGGGTTTCCAAATGAAGATGTGGGTGAGAAGTTACGTCTGTTGGCCAGGATTGGGTGCAGACAAAGCTGCATTGGAGGGGCAGTGCCCAGAGTGCCAACAAGGACCAAAATTACTGCCAGCAGCTCGCCCACATGCATGGGAATGGCTGGACTCAGTTACACATTGACTATGCCAGTCCTTTCATGGGCTCAATGTCTTTAGTCATTGTGAACACCCATTCAAAGTGGTTGGACATGCACAGAGTTCATTCGCCAAACACGGGGACAACGATTGAAAGTTGTGAGCATCTTTTACAGTACGCAGACCCCTGGAGGTGTTGGTCACAGACAACAGGCCAAGATTTTCCAACAGGGAATTCAAGTATTTCCTCAAGTCGAATGGCATTCAGCATGTAAGGACAGCTCCATACCATCCATCATCCAATGAAAGAGAAGCCCAAACTTTGATGGCAGGCTTAAATAAACAGCCTACAGCTTCACTCGATACCAAACTGTCCCAGTTCCTGTTTGATTATAGGACCATCCCTCACGCAACTACAGGGACAGCTCCTGCAGAGTTGCTGTTGGGGAGAATCAGGTTAAATCTGAACTTCCTGGACTCTGGGTGGGTGGGGAGTGACTCAGCATCAGGAACGCCAATGCCAGGCACAAGACTCCCCTAACTCAGAGAGACAGTTTACTTCAGGGGATGAAGTTTGGTATTGAAACCACGGGAATGGTCCTACAATGGGGACGAAGCAAGGTCAATGTGAGGTCATGTCCCGCTGCGTACAAAGTCTGGGTGAAAGAGACTGCCCTGGACAAGCTTGTGGACCATACGAAACCTTGTAAATAGGGCAGGAGCAAAACATACCAGGACCCTCAGAGCATCCGGCAAGGCTGTCAGAACACATGAGTTCTCCACCTCTGCCTCGCGCCGAGGAAATCTCTGTAGCAGCCTTGACACCTCTACCACCTGAAGAAGATGAGTTTTGACTGAGACACTTTGGATGCAAGAGGCAGGCTATGGTCTGGTACATGCTGCCAGTATCCGAGGCAGAGTCTGAGGAACAAGAACCGATGTGAAGGTGCCTTGGGAGAATCTACAGGAGAAAGAATGGGCCTACATCCCAGGACTTGGAGGGGGAGGGATGTTGAGATTGGAGCGAAGTCAGCCGGATGGACCTCATAGAATGTGACTTCCGTCATTGGGGCTGTTAACCTGGTTCAATCAGGGAGTCCTGGCTGACAGATATAAACAGGAATGTCAGGGGTTCTATTCACCCTCGGAGCCAGCTCTGTGCTGGCTGGGCCAGTATCATGTCTTATGCACATGTAAATAAACAGTGACTTGGTGATGGGATACCGGCCTCTGCGGAGTCATTTCAGTGTGAGTGAAGATCGTACAATTGGCCTTGGCTTAATGTCTCATGTCTGAAAGAAGGCACCTCTTACAATTCTCTCAGTGGCACTGAATTGTCAGCAGACTCTCTATTTTCGTTGTACCTGCAGTGGGGATAAGAAACACAAGTCGTCTATCTTTAAAAGAAATTGAGAAAACACTTTCTTCACTCCAGGAGCGGGAACAAAAAAAAACCACTTCCACAAATTTAGTTATAAATTCTTTTAGTTTCACCTCCCACGAGCAAACATCCTCTCGACCTTAAAGAACTGTACTGATTGCCTGTGTTATTTTAAACAGTGTTGTATATAACTTGCTAGCTTAAATGGTGTTATATTCACCTTGCTGACAGTGTTCAGTGTAAAAAAAAGACTTTGGGGGGAGTTGAATGCGGGTAATTTTCTTTAAAAAAAACTACTTGAAAAACAGGTCAGAGTTTCAGGAACAGGTCTTCAGAGGTCAGAGGGAAACCGCTGTAAAAAGATCATGAATATTTAAATTACTCACTTGCATGCAATGAGGAATCAACATTCAGGAAGTACAGGTTCAACTGAAAACTCCAGTTTGCCGATAGTCTCTCGGTGATGTAATGTTCTCAAGTTGCAGCAACACACACCGACTGCAATACTGAGGCTGGAGTGAAGTTCTACATGTAAAGCCAGTCATTTCATGCAACTGAGGCCACTCCAAATCCTCTTTATGGCATGAAAGGAGATAGTCTGGACGAGCAACTCAAGAGGTAAGGCGTCGGCTCCTTCTTATATGTTGAATGGATTCAGCAAATCTATACTGTCGTTGCTGTTCCTGTTTGCAAATACTAAACAGTGACAGCTGCTGTGGAGACATTGTGGGCCAACGATTCTACCTGAGTATGAGTCCTGGATGCACTGATGATGGAGACTAGGTGATGAGAGAGGTCACACTTGTTTCATGGTTAGTCTGTCAAGGTTGCAGGTCCATGGCATTTTGCAGCAAAAATATATTTGGTTGTCTCTGTGTGTGAATAGTTTGACTCCACATGGGACTTAAAGAACCCTGCAAACCCAGCTTGAGTACTTTCAAAACAAAATGCTCAGGGAACGTAACTTTCTCTGTACATCACGCTGGCTCTTAACTGCAACTTGATGGCCATGGTTTTGTCTTCAAGTCAGAAGACTGTGTTATAACCCACTCTGTGTACTTTGAGAACAAAGTCTAGGCTTTCACTCTACTGCAGTGCAGACAGAGTAAGGGGCATTCTTTCACTGATCTCAGTCTCAGGTTGACATGGTGCTATTAAGAAGAGTAGGGGACTTCTGTCTTGTGTCCCAGCTCTCCGCCCTTGTTCACTGTTACCAGATGTCTCATCACCAGTGCAACATAACTCATGATATAACCCAAAGGAACAGTGATCATGACTCTACCTCTGAGCCAGGAGACTGGGGTTCAAGTCCCACCTGCTCCAGAGGACATCCCTGAACAGGTTAGTTAGAAACTATGATCCAACCATATTGCAGGTTACAGGTCCTCCTCAATTTTTTTTCAAGACATCTTCTCCAGAGCCTTGCTGCTGAGATGGATCTAGATGAAAGGGTCGAGTAGAGATTGGTCAATAGCAGTTGACAGCCCATCATTAACATGAAGCTATGTCACTCTACCTCTCTCAGAGGCTCATAAACTGGTGCTGGGAACAGAACCATGATTTAGCAAGACCGGGGCCAGAGATTTGCTAATTCCTCTCACTTGCTCCTGCAGTGGTCGCCTGGTCTGTTCCTAATCCTTACCCTTTGTGTCATGCACTGATTTGACCTGCAGTCAGAGGTGTAGCCTGCATCGTCCCCATGAGGAGCATTGTGTGCAGCATCTGTTTCTTGTACAGCTGCTGAAGGGGAGAAGTGATGAGATTCAGGACAGTGGGAGGAGACTTTGAGAGGACAGCTTGGTTTTGAACAAGATAAAATCTTATCCAACATATCAACAGTGTTGAAACGAGGAAAGACCTACAAGTGAAGTCAATACCAAAAGAACTGCGGATGCTGTAAATCAGGAACAAAAACAAAGTTGCTGGAAAAGCTCAGCAGGTCTGGCAGCATCTGTGAA